CTTGTCCTGCCTCTCTTCGCCTTTTCCTCCTCGTCCTCCTCACCCACTGCATGGATGAAATGCCCGGGCAATAAGTGTCACGGGTGTCTCGTGGAGCGTTGTCATTGTTGCTTTGGCTTTCTCCCAGGCCAAGGTCTTCTCCACGAGTTTGCTTCTTACAGGTCGATGTGTGTAGTGTTCCGGTCTGGCCTGGCGTCTCTAAAGGTTGCATTGCGGTCGCACCCGAGGCGTCGAGATCAGATGGTCGCATTCCAAACAATCGGGGCGGAATCTACCCACCACGCACGGAAGACACTATAATGGATTCCGCATCAGGCATGAACATAAAGGTCGCAGCGCGGACGGACGAGAACTGAAATGATCTTGCCAGGCGCGAGCTAGCGCGGGGCCCCAGAGCGTATGATAACCTGCTGACCCTGACCAACAGCATCCTGATACCGACCGAGCACCGACTTCGCCAAAGGAGACGGGACGAAGAAACCCATCACTCTCTGGGAGCAGCCGACGTTCGGCAATCCGAACTTCATGCAGTTGTTGCGGACGCCCGGCTCAAGACGCCCAGTTCGAGAAGCGCGTGCAGCGGGACCGAAGTAGAAGATCAAAGTTGGTTCAAAAAGGGTACCTTTTTGTTTTTGGTGCGCGTTGGATGTTGTTGTGCATGTTGGGGAGGGCGCCCTTGGATGTTTTGTTTGATTCGGCCGACGGAAGGCCGCATGTGTTTGAAGAATGTTCCTCTGGCACATATCCGATTGCATCTGATCACATGGCGGAGCTCTGTTCATAAATGGGGGTGGCCAAGGCAAACTTGGAGAAGATCGATAACGGAACGAAGATCAGCGACAACAAGCTGGGCTACTGGACGCTGAAGAAGTCAGACTTCGACTGCGACGAGAATCTGACACGCGTGGCCTGAACAGAGGGACTCTCCAGTTCGCGAAGATCAGCACGGCGCTGAAGAACATGCACCCGCGAGGTTTCCGGCATCGTGATGAGGACATCCGGCCACGTGAATTATCGAAACATCGAGCCGACTACGGGCGCGCCGACGACGGCCAATGCGACGATAAGAACGTTGGCGATCTCGAAAAAGACGCGCACTTGCCGACCCAGGACAGCAACGACTATTGGTACAAGTGCGGTTAAGACCACGACGCCGACGCGAGCCAGCACTATGCCACCACGACGCTGGACGACCACGACTACGCGGGCGAAGAGGCTTTCACCATCGAAGACGGCACCGACCAGGGGATAGCCAACCAGGACCCCAAGCACCGATAGGCGCGAACGGCGCCACGCGAGTTGTAACACAAGACGGACAAGACGCGCGCGACACGGGGATTCTTCGCGGGCGGGATCGACTGAGCGCGGGGCGACAGCGCAGCAGCTGGAGGCTAGCCGAGCGGCAAGTTCGGCGGCACAGGCAAACCCAAGGGCTCGAATAACAAGTGGCGCAGCGGGCGCAATCGCTTCGATTGCATTCGCCCCGGCCGCGGAAACTGAGGCAAACCCACGCTCGGCAAGCAGCGACCAACGCGCGCGGGGAAATTGCCGGGAGGAGGCAAAGGCGCCCCGGACGATTGTTTTCGACACATGGATGATCGGAACGGTCGCTGGGATCCGCGGCTGGCACCAGAAGGACAACGGTAGCGCGACCACCATCCATTACGCGGACCCTGTCGTGAGAAATCGAATCCCGCGTTTGGCCCAGGCCCCGCTGGATCAGCGCCGCCACGTGCTGGATCGAAGTGCCACAAAGGCGAGGGCATCACGTTCGGCGAGTCCGAGGTCCCACTGGCACTTGCGCGGCAGGCTGGCACCGGCGCGGCAGGCTTGGGCTGGCACTGTCGCGGCAGGCTTGGGCTGGCACTGGCGCCGCAGGCTTCGAAGCTCCGGCAGCGGGAGAACGATTGGGGGCGGCAGGGGGGCCATTATGTAGAAGCGAACGGAGCGACGACGACAGCCGAATGCTGCACATGCGGGGCGACAGCAAACGCGAGTCAATTCGCCCGGGCCAGCGCGCGCGCGGGCTGGTCGCGTGCGCGGGCGGGCTGATCGCCGAGCCAACGGCAGCGCCGGCGCCGACGGATAGCTGTTTCAAGCGGCGGCGGCCCACTACTAAGTGCCGCAGGGCCCGCCAACGCGCGGGCGCGGCGGGCCGCGGGAAGCCTCGCCTAGAAGCGGCAGGAGTGCGGCCAGAGTCATTCGCTCGAAAATCGGCCAGCGCGGCCGCGCGCGAGCTCGCCTACAGGACAACACCCATCAAGTGCGTTCTGGGCAAGGCTATCGACGAGGGCGAGGCGACGCCCGCGACGCCGCGCAAGGTGGCCAGGGAGTTCCACCCGCGCAGCGATCTCGTCAGTATCCAGATCGCGGGAGGCGAGGGCCAGGTCATGCGCGACGTGAGCGCCGCGAGGCAGGTCGCGGCCGCTTGCAACGACCGGGGGCAGCTAGCGGACTTCACAGACGCGCGGAAGGAACGCGATTACTTTGGTAAGCCCCA